TAATAATTGAATATGATTCCATGTGCTATACAAGCTATTTCAAAATATCTCAAATACTGAAAAGCAGTATGATTGGCACTGGAATGAGTGGAAAGAGGTATGGGAGTACAGGGGACAAGTGTGAAACTCATGTGAATTGGTTTTGTGTGGTGGATATTGTTGATGGGAACTGTTCGACTTTGTGGAGATAGTAGAAATCGGATATGGCTATCCCCACATAGCCCTTGCTCCTTTTACAAAGTCCAAAGCCAACAAATACATCTACCTTGAAGGAAATGCTCCTTCAAAAACATTCAAGAATCAGGGTGATCCTTAGAGTTAAAGGCGGTGAATCTTCATTTCACATACTTTGGCCAGGTTGTCAGGAAAGCCTAATCTTTGGAAAAAGGCACGTAGGTGGAGAAGCAGAGAGAGAGAGAAGACGACCTTCAAGAAGGTGGCTTAACACAGTGACTGTAACAGTTTACTCAAGCATATCAAAGAGTGTGAGGATGGCCTGGGGTAGGGCCAGTTCAGATCTACTGTTTGTGAGGTCCATATGAGTCACATAATAACAACAACATGTCATAGGAGTGACTAGATAGAGATGCACTCCTTACACGTGCACACATTGTGATAAACCAAACTTTCTCCATACTATATGGATGCCTCTTTGGTGCTTTGAATACACAAATAACTCCAAAAGAGAAAGATGGACAAAGTACTCTAGTGCAGTCAATTTACAGCCTTCAAAAATGGACTGGAGGATCAAGTACTAGTTTGTCCCAACTCCTTGGTAATGAACAAGTTTGAGTTTTCTGGGGAAAACAGATTGGAAGAATACTGGTTGTGTAGTGTCTAGTGAGTCACACTGCTAACCCAGAGGCTGAACATCTCTATGATTTGAATCCACAAGAGGCTCCAAGAAAGAAAGATGAGCAATTGCCACCAATTACAATTTACAGCCTTGGAAATTTGATGAAGGGTAACCCTGAGTTGGAATCAACTCACTGGCAATGAGTGAGTATGTTGTTGTTATGTGCCATCAAGTCACCTGTGACTCATAACAACCCTATGTATAATAGTTCTGAACCTTGCCCTATCTTTAGTCAGTCTCACTGTCTCTGACAATCCCACACCCATTACCCTAGTTACTGTGTTAATCCATCTCACCCAGGATTTTCCTCTCTTGCACTGCACCTCCACCATTCCAAGCACGATGTCCGATGTCCCTCTTCAGGGAGTGGTTCCTCCTGGCTGCATGCCTAAATTTAATGTAAGATAGAGCTTCAAAAATCTTTGCCTCCAAAGAGCAACTAGATTTCATCCTCTCCAAAATAAATCTATTTGTTCTCTTGGCAGTCCATGGTATGTTCAACAGTCTTCTCCAGCACCATAACTCAAAGGAATCAATTCTTCTTCTATCCATTCTAGTCACATTCTAGTTGGCTCTCTGATGCATAAAAAGTAATTGAAAACCATGGCCTGAAGCAGGTGCACCTTTGTCCTTAGAATGACATTGCTGCTTCTTAGCACTTTGAAGAGGTCTCTAACAGCAGTTTTCCCCAGAGCAATTCTTTTGATTTCTTGGCTGCTAGTGCTTAAGAACGTTGACTGTGGATGATATATTACTTTAGGAACTAAATATGAATGTCTTCATTATATATGAGTGTATACACAAAATGAGTACATATGTCAAAAAAAATCTCAAATTTTATTGAGGGCTAGAAAAGTTAAAAGGAGGATTGTTCTGAGTCAGAAATGATTTTGCAGCAGTGAGTTTAAGTTTTAACCAAAATTACCTTCCAATCCTATATCTATCTATCTATCTATCTATCTATCTATCTATCTATCTATCTATCTATCATCTATTTATCTATATATCATATATTTATTTATATTTATATCAGTTTCTATCTCTATCATCTATATATAAATATATTTAGAGAGAGAGTAAAGTGGCTACAAATAAACTTAATGCTATTCTTTGCCTTGACCAAGATTTCTAAACTGATATTCTATTTCTTCTTTCCCTGTACTGCTTTTTACTAAGCAAATTCCAAGAATGATATTTTACAAATGAAAAACTTTTTCATATTTTTCAAAGAATATCACAATATAATTCAAATTTTTACCTACCATAGCCCACTAGATCCTATCTATCTCTTTTTTCACTGTGCATTAGCCAAATTGCCATTATTTTCTCTCTTCCCATATAGCAAGCTCTTAAGTAACTCAGTGCCTTTGAAAGTATTCTTTGCCACCTGGATTTTCTGTTCCCTCTAATATTAATTTTCTTGAGTGTCATTGCTAAAGTTTCACCTCAAAATTTATCAG